ATTGTATTAATATTTGTATTAATTTTATAACTCTTCACACCTTGCTGAATTTTTACTGTTTGTGATAGTTTTTAGCTGATTTTGTGTTTCCAAATTCTTATTTGCCAATAGTGATTTTTCTCCTCTTTTTTCTAATGAATAGGTTTTGATGGTACCTTATTTGACTATTTTAATGGTTATGAAGATTTAAAAAATAAGAAAGTTAGATTTGTTGGACATGCTAAACAGAGAATACAAGAAGATTATCTAAGAATTTTAAGATATTTCAGGTAAGAATTTTAAAATATTTTAAAAACAAAAAAGTCACAGTTTTTGATATCATCACCAGAACACAATACTGGTCATGCGAAACAGCAGGTCCGTGTGCAAAATGGTGACATGCCAAATGTCTGTCTCCAGTAGAGCTTTACCAGCCTATGACTTGTTAGATAGTTCATATTGTATTTTCATCCCCAGAACATACACATACTTATTCCATTCTATATGATCTTTTCTGCTTTAAATCATTTTTTAAAATGCCTAGTTTTCTTTCATTGAGTGATATTTTCTACATTGATCAATTCATTACACAGATGCTTGAGTGCTTAGCACAGGCCAAGTACTGTGTAGGTGCTTTGAACATGTAATGAATGAAAGTCGCTGCCTTTATATGGCTTAAAGTCTTAGGTGGTCATGGAAATCTCTGATACCTCACAACAAAATGATACTGGTGAAATAAATACCTGTTATATGACCAGTAAAACAATCAAAGTATAAAGACATGCTTAACAGCTTGGATAAACTTGGTAAGTATGAAATGCAGGGATGGTTTTGTGGGCAGCAGTGATTTTTAAACTCCTTACTGTAACCTTTTTAAAAAACTATCTTAACTGGCTAGATTAAGTCTAGTAATATTCATTTTTTGCTGGTTGAGATCATCCTCAGAATATTCTGCACACAACATATCACACATTTTGTTAGTAAGTGCTATTTCTCTAAACTTGAGTATATGCAGACAGTCCCTCTATAAATGATAGTACGTACATCAAAACTTACCTGTATTTAGCATTTAATTTAGATGACTAATGAATTGAATTTTAAGGGTATGAGTGGTAGAATGGGTATACTCTAGGGCTTCCAGTTCTGGAATTCCATGAAACATACTCCAGGTTCTGCAACTAGGTATGTCATATTTGAGAGTCTTTGAAAGTCTTAACGTGTACAAACAGGCAAACTTTGAGGGATCAAGACAGCTCCACTCTGGCATTCCAGTCTTGTTTTGGTGCCTTTATAAGGATGCTCTTTTTTTCCATCCGCTTTAAGCACCAATTCAGGAACTGCATTTGATGGCCATTCTGAGCATCTCAGCCAGTCATTTTGAAGTGAAATTGAGACCTGGGGGTTCTATTTCTTGCTAATCTTAAGGTGACATATCTTATTAGATCTTTGGTTTTCTCATCTGGAAACAAAAGGAGGTAGAAAATTGGCCAGGTGTCTTTTAACATTCCTGCTAGACCTAACTAGTTCCATGTTGATTTTCATTAAATAGAAGTATGGGATAGTACGAGTAAAAATAAAAAAAAGATATTTCTTGTGATATGCCAACATAGAGGTAATACGCCATGAAGATTTTGTCTTACAGGTTTTATGGGAAAATTGTAGACAAACCTGGTGATCATGATCCTGATACCTTGGAAGCAATTGCAGAAAATGCAAAAGGCCTGGCTGGAATATCAGGAGAGAGGATTTGGGTGGAACTGAAAAAAATTCTCGTTGGTAACCATGTAAATCATTTGATTCACCTTATCTATGATCTTGATGTAGCTCCTTATATAGGTAAGAGCAAGTTATAAAGTGTTTGAATTTTTGGCAATGAAACATCTAGTTTAAAGTTTCATAAAAAATGTTTAAAGAAGAATTCTTAATGGAAGAATGGAATATTTTAAAATAAGATAAGCTTTGGGGTATGGGGTAGAACAGTTTTGTCACGAGTAGGGAATAGCTCAAAGATGGCATACTGCAGTTGCACAGAATAGTTTCTGGAGTCAGACAGATCTGGGTTTGAATGAGGCACTTACCAGCTTTGTGACTTAGTTTCTGACCTTTTAAAACGGAGGTTTGAAAATAATAGCATATATCTAATAGAAGGGCTAAGAGGATTCAGTGAGTTAATACAGATAAAACACTTGTAGAAGAGTGGCTTAAACATAGAAATTGTTCAGTAAATGTTATTCATATTCACAAAGAACAGTGGGATTATATGGTTTATCACACTTCAGGAAACTTGGGTGTATTTCAAATAAAGACATAAACTTATTGAAGGAGGTAAGTGTTATATGGTAGTCTATCAGTGGGCAGTCAGTGGGAAGCAGTTTGTGATTGGAAAAAGTAGCCCATGTGAATCTGACACCACCATCACCACTGCCTCTGGACCTCCTCAGGTAGCTTGTTGATGGAAACAACATTTTAGGGGCTACCCCTAGGTTTTGAGAGTGACATGGGAAAGAATAGCCGTAACGTGTCAGTTCTTCACCTGTGTCAGTGCTTCACCTGTAAGACAGAGCATCAGATTGGCCCTATAATATGTACTAGTGACAGGGCATTTCAGTATACTAAAACAATGGTTGGTTTAGGATATGAGTTTTTTTTTCCTCCACTAAAAACAGGTGAAAAATGCTTTTGTTCCTACAGGTTTACCTGCTAATGCAAGTTTAGAAGAATTTAACAAAGTCTGTAAAAACGTTGAAGGTTTCTCACCAAAGCCAATGACTCTTTTGGCCTCATTATTCAAAGTACAGGATGATGTCACAAAATTGGATTTGAGGTTGAAGATTTCAAAAGAAGAGAAAAACCTTGGCTTATTTATAGTCAAAAATAGGAAAGATTTGATTAAAGCAACAGATAGTTCAGAACCATTGAAACCCTATCAAGACTTCATTATAGATGTAAGTATATATTAGGCTTGGGCAGAATATAAATTATTTTCACTAATTATAGAACTAATTTATTAAAACTAAGACCTACAATTTTATGGGTTTTACTTAATTTAAATGAAAAATTTCATATTGAGCATTTAGTATTTAAATTTTAGGATAAGATCACAAGTGATTGTTCTGCATGATGAAACTAAATATTTGATTTTGGCACTTAGTCTAGGGAATCTGATGCATCTACCCGTGTGTGTGAACTACTGAAGTACCAAGGAGAGCACTGTCTCCTAAAGGAAATGGAGCAGTGGTCTGTTCCTCCCTTTCCTGTAAGTGGCCATGACATCAGAAAAGTGGGCATTTCTTCAGGAAAAGAAATTGGTGCTCTATTACAACAGTTGCGAGAACAATGGAAAAAAAGTGGTTACCAGATGGAAAAAGATGAACTTCTCAGTTACATAAAGAAGAACTAAAATTGATGGCTATTAAAAACTGGAACATTTTTGGTAGTACTGTTTTTCTTACCCTCCCTATTCGTGAGATTTAGAAACTAGTGGAATAAAAACCAGCTTAGAGGACCTCTTCAGTTGAATAAAGGTTTTACTTTATGAAATATATTTCGGGCACTAAACTGAAGTCTACCTCCTCTTGATCTGATTAGTATCACTGAACCTTATAATGCTTTTGGAATAGTTCCAACTGAGAAAGGTATAGCTGGCTTCTATCTTTTTATTTTTGCATAGAGCAGTACTAAGACTGATCTTAAAAAGGTAATTGTCTTAAAGAATAGATGTTTATTTGCAAGTGAAATAACTGGTTACTCTATATGATGACTGTCTATAAGTGTCACTTCTTATCTGAATTCTAAAATAAACTTGTGCCTAAAAGAAGATCGTTGACAAATTTGAATAAAATATCCTATATAAAATACAAATACTAAATGTGCCATGGGTGGCTGACATTCATATATACAGGATTTGTTCTAGTAAGCTATGTTTCAGTATGTTATTTTTCTCTGTCATAATTTCTTTATGTATGCAAAGCCTGGGAAAGTTAAGTTATGGGATTAACTTGAATGTTACTCTTCTGACAAGTATGCAAGTGTTCATATATTGCATTTGATATAGGAGGGCTGTCTGGAAAGTATACAGCCATGTAACCATTCTTGTTATACTAAAAATGGCTGGATATCTTCCAGATAGCCCTCTTATATCAGGTGCAATATATGAATACTCCTGTCTCTTCAAAGATTTGAGCCCTAAGTGCTTTCATTATGTAAACAGATATATAGCATAAAGTATTATCTGTTTCAGCTGCTATACTGATATTTTATAATAGATTTTCCTTTCTGTGTAGCCAGCCAGTCATAGCATCTTTGTACTCTGTGGGCACGTAGTAATTTTGGACCTTGATAAAATGATTTTGGAAAGCATATTATTTCTATTAAAATCCAACTAAAAGGAAGTGTGACAAACAGTATAACAGGGACTATGGTGCAAGAATGGGAGCCTCAGAAACAACTGCACACAGGTCAGTAATTAAATGCATTATAAAATAATACATTGAAATAGTTAAGTACTACTGAAGTACATATTTGGATCCAATATCATACAATTCCTATTCTTTTTATATAGAAAGTATACAGATTCAATTATTTCAGAGGTCTGGTTTTGTCATGTGTAAAAGCCTTTCCAACAGTATCCAGTAGTATTATATGCAGGTTATTACATAACCAGAAAATTTTATTTGCAAGTATTAGAAAATTCTGAGATTATACCCTATACCCTTCATGGGGCAAAAGCAATGTTCCCTGTGTTTTGATTTCAATCTACAGAGAAGTACTGTGCTACTGAAAAGAACTCTCTAGAATCCATTAGAGTAAGTTTTAGTGCAGCGCACTTACGAACACCTAGTGAGCGCATACAAATCCAAGGTTATTAATGAAGTGGAGCTTAGAAAACAAAGTGACAATCTTGGGCATATCCTAAACAGCAGCCTTCTTGAGTTGCTTTTCATTTACTCTAATCTGATTAACTTCAAAGTTGGTAAAAACATGAAGAAATTAAATAGTCTGTTTATAGTCGATTAACTCTTCCTGCTATAAATTACATAAAACAGCAAAGGAGTACAATAAAACCAAAGTTAATTACACAAATGTGAAAGGATCCTCTAAACCCTTGAATATATAAGTAAAGAGGTAGTTAGCAGTCTATCTAGAACTTTATCTTAAAAATTATTTCTTACACCTAAGTAAGTTACTTATGAGTAGGCTTATGAGTAGATATTTTACATTATTTAAATAAAAATATGTTTTAGGTATATTTTAGTTTTGCTTTTAAGTTTACTTAGAGATTTTCTTCAATTTACATTGAACAAAATTACAGTACCACTTCTGTCCTGTATGGGGATGGGGGGGGGGTAGGCAGGGAGATGGATGACACGTTTTGTACCTCTGCCCCATAGTAGTTTAAATTTAGTCTTTAGCTTTTGTATGGAACAGAATAATCAGGGTTAGTTCAAACAAGTACTGAGCAAAAATACAAAATATTGCTTTCAAAATCCTGTTTTTCACTAACACACAAAGGAAATGAAAACTTCATTTTGGGGCTCAAACTGTATGTTTTAATATTTTCAAGATTTACAAATCAGTATCTCAGAGAAGCTAAAGAAAACTGAAAGGAACAAAAGCCCTTTAAAAATAACACACATTGCCTGGTCGCTTGCAGAAAGGAACATGTACTTGTGCTTGGCACCCTAGCTTTTGTCATTTGGAGCACTGGTGCAGATATGACGTCTCATACACCATGATCAAACGGTTTCACATTGTAGGAATTTAAAATGCTTTGTGCAGCTAACAATCTCATCAAAGGTATCTTCATGTCCTATAAAAGACATACTACCAGACATATCAGATTCCACAGGATAATGGCACCAAGCTACTAAAGTAGATATTCCTGAAACCAAATGTGTACTCTAGACTGCTTGTCATCCTCTCCAAAGTATACTTTAACTTAAATCTTCATATACAGTTTGACTAAGAAACTTTAACCCTCCATGTTGTATTTACTTAGGTATGTATCAGAGGCTATGATTTTAGAATACCAAATTGTTAGATAACTCTATCCCTACCGTATTTGTTTACAAGCAAAGTATTACTTTGTCTGGACTTAATTCATCTTCAGTGTCTGGGATTGTGGGCAACAGAGCAGATCGAGTTAAACCCCAAAATTTTTGAGGCGACATGTCTTTTTTGGTGGCTGTAAATTTCCATCCAATGTGGCTTGCACAGATCCTACATTGGGCAATAGTCCAGGCATACCTACAAAATTAAAGAAAGATATCAGCTAAGAAAACATTTCTGTACCCCAAGCCTATCATACAAAACTGTTATGAAGATAGATTTTACAGCCAAATTCTAAGGATTAAGACAAACAGAATGTTCTGAGCTGAGATTTGATCCATAAAGTTCCCTGAAACAAACCTCATAAAAGCATTTTGTAACGTGGACAATTCATATGGTAATATATCAATCTTTATATATATTTTTACATATACTTGGTTTTTATACATATGAATATATGTAACTTGACTCTCTTAATCTGTTTAAATTTTTTCTCTACTGTACAGAGAAAAAAAAGAGGGATCTTATTAATATGGATTTCTTTATACAAACTTCTGGTTGCCAAGACCACATTCTAACTTGCACTGCCTTTTCCTTTGTTTTGCATTGCAGTCAAGTTAGAAAACAACCATCTGTAGAAATGTGCACTTTTGTCTGAGTTCAACTAGGTGGGACGGGGATAAGGGCATGTCTCATATAAGATTTAAAAACTGCTATTCAAAAACATGACCATGTAATTGCAACAATCCAAGTGACACAGTCCTAGTTAATCCAACAGCAAGAATAGTCATTCTTCAAAATAAAAGGCTGACCCAGAATTTGGAACAAAAATTGAGTAATAAGGCTCTTGAAAGATAATACAGCTGAGGAAATCTAGTAAGTTCCCAGGTGATGCTAGTAGGCCCAGGATTATACTTTGAGAATCAATGGGCTAAAAAAAAGCAAAAACTGGAAGAAAAGCATGATTCAATGGTTTCTCCATCTTCTTAGTCTATCAATCACTGCTTAAGAAACATTCTCTGGTTTTACACATTATTACAGAATAAGGTCCAGATAGAAATAATTTTACTGGGCCATAAGACAGTTGATTTTCAGAATGACGTAACAGAAAAATGAAATAATGTCAGATTAACTATATAGTAATTTCAGGACAACTGCAGTTACCAACCTGCTTTCGCCCTAACTTCACCTTCAATAAAAGTGTAATAGATGTTTCTAGTTATTTATGGACTGAAGAGCATTTAAATATAATTATTCATTTCATTGTGTATTTTTTATTATAGTTCTAGCAACTCTGCTTAGGACTCTGGGTTTTTCTGCCCAATTAAGGTAAAACAAAACAAAACAAAAAAAAAGCAACCACCACCATCATATTACCCAGGAAACCAGCTGTGCTCTGTAGAAGGCCGGCCTATCAGATTCAAGTTGCAAGCCTTATACACGGTAAGCGTCTCATGCACATATCCATGAGGGTTCACATATGCTGCCATTGGCCCACATAAGGATAAACTACAACAAAGAATCAACAGGAAGATAAGTCAAAATGAACAAAAAGGTCTAATTCTAAATGGACAGATTTTTTAAAGTTCACTAAGAAATGAGGTATGAGCTACAGGTTTTAATCTTTTAGTTTTGGGTAATACCAGAATCTTAGCACGAAAACAGAGGGTTGGCAGACAGTCCCGTTTCAGTCAGTACATTTTCTGTGATGACCCAAAGGGAAATAGTACTAGTTTTTAAAACTCTTCTCAAGACATACATTGTAAAACATACAGAGCTCAAGTTCATCTAAAAGAGTCTCTGGGAATGTTAGTACAATAAAAAGGTCTTGTATGGTCATCCTTGTGCAGTTGATTATTTTGCAGATAGCAGGTTTTTTACCTTTTTGATTTTATAATTCTGATGACTTCATCATAAAATCATTTTCAAACACTGTTATATCACAGCATCAGTATGCGTTCAGAAGCATATCCTACTTTGGTCTTATATGGCAAAACCAATGACTGAATTACAATGCCTGAGGCATCCGTGTTAGGTACTTAATCACTACGATTATCATATGTACATGGCTATAAATTTCTAAGATACTCTAATATATAGATTTTCAACAAGGATTGCTCAGTTGTTTTATTTTACCATGCACATTACCTATAAATAATTCCTGACATATCCATGTTGCTATGAGTACCCAATGTGAAAGATGGTCTTAACCAAATCTGAGTTAATTCCCCATATTTCATTTGCTAAGTATTTATAATTTTTAGGTATTGGAGGGAAATATATGGAAAATGGAAATACAGTCTTGATTATATTAATAATTCCGATAAGGTGGTTGGAAATGTATTCAGGGGTATACTAAAAATATAATAAAGATCTTACCTGAATATTTCATTTTTGGTTGTTATTTCTGTTTCTTGACACTGTTTACAGCAAAGGGAAGTACACTACAAAATTTAAGAGAAAATTATCAGTGGGAAAAATAGGTACTTGTTTTATTATGTAATTATATAGCTCCTCAAGAAACTTCTAAATATATTTTCCTTCCAGCCATTCAAAAACTTAGTTTTAAAGATGGAACAAGAAACACACTGAATCTGAGATCTGCCACATATTCACTTATAAAAGTAAATGATCTTCTGGGATAAAGAAATAGTGGTATATAACCACAGATGTTCCATGTAGAAATCAAATATTTTCACAAAGTTTCACAAAGGTATTCATATTTGAAAAATGTAGACCAGTTTGAGTTTCTGTCTGCATGAACCCAATTAAAATGTTTAAATTATACTTTAAAATTTTTAAATGTAAAGCATGGCAGGTTAAACAATTTTTCCTAATTGCACAACTACATTACTGGACTCTACAGACAGCTCTCTCGGTCCCAACAGCGCATCCTAGTTCTCTAGCCTGCCTAAACACAAGCATCACAAACGTAGTCACTTTACTCACTTTATTCATAATGTCTAATTCACAGCGAAGTCGTTGGATAGCACTACCAATTTTAAGGAGCTGAATTCTTAATACATCATCAATAGGAAGACAAGCAGCTACTCTGTAAGAAAAATCTTAAAGACATGGTGGGGTTTTCAAGTTTTAGACTCATGAATCAGATAATGTCCTTTTGAAATAAACCCTTCTCTACAGGGTTCCCCAAACACATATTTTATGCAATTATAAACATACTAAAATATACCAGCTCTCAAGTATATACTCTTAAGAAGCCCTAAATGTAACTTCTTTTCCCATACATGAGTTTTTTTGTAAATGACTTTTTTAATGTGAAATATTAACTCGAATCCATAGAAGTTACTTATTTGCCAAGATACTAGAAAAACAATTATACCTTGTAAACAGATACAGAGATTATATATAAATACGGTAAAGTCCTGGAACTAGGGTCACTTCTTTTACAAAGCAGGGAAAGGAGAGTCTTTGCACTCAGGAAATGTTTTTGGATGAGAGCCACTTAGTGCAATTTGAACTTTTCATGGTAAACTTGCCTAAAATTGGAGTGTGCACAGACTCTTAAGAATTCTGGTACAATTAAAAACCACTCATTTTTTCAACTGCTCAAAGCAAAGGGAATGTGTATACTTCTCAGATTTAATTAAAATATTAATCTGTAAAAAGAAAAATAAAAACTGCTATTTCTGTCACAGGAAAGAAAGTAACTTTTCATACCTATTGGATTTGAAGGAAGAGAATCATCTTTTAGATTTTCATCCCATTCACGTAGCTGTTTCTTGATTCTATCCATTAAGGTTTCCTTTTTAAAATAAAAGGAGGCATAATAAACTTCACAAGCTTATTAAAATTTACTGTCAGCTTTTTGACTCATTTTTTAAAAAATAAAACTAATATATTGGTAGCAATTTAAGTTATCACTATGTGGTAAAATCTTGGTCCCATCTGAGTCCCATTTTAAATGTCTCCATTTTCTCATGCAGAAATGATAAAGTCCCAGCTCCTTTCCCCAGTACTACGTTGGCTTTCCTGGCCTCTCTCACCGACAATCTGTCTACCCTAGGGGCACACTGCTAAGTGCCTTGTGGATCCGGTCCTATGCTCCTGCCTGGAACTATCTGGCCTCTCTTCTGCTTGCTATGAAGCCTTTTCTGACCCAGTTCAGAGACTATAGCACCTATAAATTGCACTAGCATTTGCTATCTATGTACCTTACTTGGCACCTGTTTACTACATAAAACTGTTTTCAATCTTTTCACAACCATATGCAAAAAATACTCTTGCATAGCGTATCTTTGTAATAGCTCAAGCCACTAGAATAGATCAACTGCAATTTCCCTTAGTGTCATGCATGTCATAAGTGCTCAAAACTTGTTTAGTTTTCCCAGGACTCCAGATTTATGGGCAAAGTGATTTACTAAGGGAAATGACTAATGTTTGCTGAATCCTTATAGCTACTATTATCCCCTTTTTATAGGTCCATAGAGCTGTAATACTTTTTTAAAGAGAAACCAAAACATATTTAAGGATTCTTTAATTTTCTAAATATAACTGCCACTTTGCCCCCAAAATTTTCAAATGCTTAATAAACCCTAACATGTCTTACAGTATCGCATATACGTGTCGCATGGTATCTTATGCTTAAGTTACAAACCACTAGAAACTGTGGAAAAACTAAAACTTACAGAAATAAGAGGCAGAGTCTATCCAGCAATATCTGTTAACTCTCGCCCGTTTTACTCGAAATGTAACAAATGGCACTAGTTCTGACCCTTAATTATGATATGGCTTACTACAGATACAAAATGTTTAAGGTAAGTTACTTACGGCATCATATAAGGAATATAGCCAGCGAGGCCATGAAGTCAAATTTGCACAATGAAACTTTCTCTGAAAACAACAAAAAAAAAGTCACTTAAAAACTCCACAGAATAAAGATTCTAATGATGGAAAGAGCAACATTTGAAAAATGATTTAGGCCTAGGAAAACCTTTTCTAATTAAAAAAAGTTAAAAAAAATTGATAATCCCATTAACAGAGGACTATCTTTTAAGTTTGAAATCATGCTTTCATAGCCTTCAAATATACACTGTAACAAGAATCTTGATGCCTATTGAAAAGTCTAAATATTAACATTTCAATGCTGAAGACAACTTAGTGAAAAGAAGATGAACCTGAGGAATAACTAAATAACATGCTTCTATTATGACCACATTAGTTGCCTTTATACTAGTAATTACCTGTCCAGTATCTATGGTGAAAACCTCAAAAAACAATCCAAATTGTCCTTCTGTAAAAACTTTAAAAGGGGTCTCAACTAAATCACTGTAAGGGAAAACATAGGAAGTGATATAATTCCAAGAAGAATAAAATGATCACATACTTTGGACTTCATGATCAAGTTCCTCATTTCATAAAATTCAAGGAGAGGGGAACCCATTACCTAACTCCTCCAATTGCTGTAATTTGGGGTGAAATTACAGAAGCATGCCTAAATCCACATAAAAATGTGAATTACACTTAAATTTCTGCAGAATTTCAGTATTTGATGGGAAGACTTAATGCTGTTAAGAGGTCAGTTCTCAAAATATATGTTCAATAAAATACCAATGAGATTGAAATTTATAAGCATAATTTAAAGTTCATTTTGAAGACTAAGTGTGCAAAAATAACCAAATAATTTTAGAATGAGAAGAAAATGATCTACAGGACACAAAAACATGACTGAAAGGATACTGCGCAGGGCTGTTGACAGCAAGACTGGAAACAACCTAAACATCAACAAGATAATGGTTAAATACATTAGAATGTGTTTATACTAGGGAATACTCGGCAAGTGATCAAAGAATTAGGCATATTAAACCTACACAATATAAAAAATGATATTTTTCCTAAAAAACAAAACCTACATATGTACAAATGTTTGTAATTTCATTGTAAACAAACTTGTTAATCAACACGTGACATGACACATGAAACTGGGAGGGAAAAGGAATAAGGTAGATCAAAAAGGACTTTTAACGGACCAGAACAAAAAAAAGCAAGGTAACAGTTAGCAAAATAAAAGGAAGATCCTACTCTTGTACCTGTGAGATCAATGACTAGGTATGAAATGGAGAAATGTGGGTACACAGCACACATATGGACTCGGGGACTTAGTCGATAGTTATGAGCTGTGTGCTGTACAGTTGTACAACGTGCTGTACAGCTCGCACCCTCTACTCCTCAACCCCATCTTATTCTAGCTATGTTAGAAGTCCAGAATCCAAGAAAAGAGATAAGAATGCTACTCCATTCTGTGAAGGTCAGAAATGGGAACTTTCATTGTCAAAGAAGAGAATGTCTTGAGTTAAGAGGGATATTTAGTTTGGAGCTGTCTCAAGAGGACATGATACTTGTTTTCAAATGTTTTAGGAATTACTACATGGAAGAGGACACATTTGTTCTGAAATGTCCATGGGCTAACAGCTCAAACAAATAGATTCTTTAATGAGAAAAACTTCTGGTTTAATATAATCCTCCTTATATTTGAGGCTACTCAGAGATGGTCTGGGATGGCCTCCTAGCACATACTTAGGTAGTGATTTAAGCCTGAGGCATCAGACCGTGAAGATCCTTAAGGTACTCTCCAATAAGGTTTGTTTGCTTGTTTGTTTGTTTATTTACTTACTTACACAGTCACTCTGTCACCCAGGCTGGAGTGCAGTGGTGTAATCATAGCTCACTGCAGCCTTGAACTGAGCTCAATAGATCCTCCTGCCTTAGCCTCCTAAGTGCTTAGGACTATAGGTACATACCACCATGCCCACCTAATTTTTAAAAAAATTTCTTGTAGCAAAAAGGTCTTGCTATGTTGCTCAAGCTGGTCTTGGATTCCTGGCCTCAAGTTGTCCTCCTACCTCAGCTTCCCAAAGTGTTGGGATTACAAGCGTGAACCAACACTCCCGGCCTATCCTTTATTTTTAAGACCAAATATCTAATGCTAGGGATTATTGCCACAGTCCAATTACAGAATTAAAAAAAAAAAACTACCAACAGTACATCAGATAACTCTGAATATTCAGTAACAGCAATGGCAACCATTAATATTGGGCCAAGAACTTCACAACTTATAAGAATACTGTAAGATTGGTAATATTATTATCTCCATTTTAAAGATAAGGAAATAGGCACAGAAGGAATGGTATAATTTGCCAAGGGTCATGAAGTCAGTAGATGGGGAGGAGCTAGGATTTGCACAGGAAGTCTGACTCTAACCATCATTCATTCAATAAATACTTTGAGCACCTAACGTGTTAGGCATTATTTTTATGCATTTAGGATATTCCAGCAAATAAAAAAACAGACTGAAATCACTGCCCTGTGGAGCTTGTATTTTAGTGGAGAAAAGCTTACTTTCTAAAATTACATATTCTTAGAAGTACAAAATGCCAAAGACCCAACAGAAAGTTTTAGTTTGGCTGATTGACATACTCCCAATTCAGTCATTAAAACATACTTTACACAAATAGAATGATCAATTTTGTAGCACAATGTGTACAAAAGTATAGTACAAAGGTGTAATCTTATTTGGCATCCATGTCAAGATAACGAGAAGCCAAAATAATTTATTCGTAATAAATAAATTCTAATTATAAAGAAAACAGAATATGGCATGCTAGTAAATTAAGAGCAATGCATTGGGTCAGGGCCATTGCCACTCACTTGGCCACCACCCCCCATGAACAAGCAGTCTCAGGTATCTCAGAGTTCCCTTCTTTTTAGAGTGAGAAGACCTCCAAAATTCTTTAGCTAGATTATCCTGACAGATTCTAAAAGTTCTACTTACAAATCAAAATGCTTAACATACCCTTGATATCCGTGATGTGTTTTCTACAGTCAACCATACAACTGAAGAGAAGTATACCAGAAAAGATTAGCTAGCTTTCACAGAGCAACTACCAAAATTTAAGCCTCTTCACTACTTCAAATTTAAGAGTCCCATTTCGCTTTCTCGCACAATAGGAGAGGCTCCTGTCTTAAATCTGCGTAAAATTGATGGTAAGTTCCAGCAATTTATGGGCATTCTTTGAATATATCAACACCCTGATTTATATCATAAAAGAGTTATACCTCAAGAAAATTTTAATACTAGCTAAAAAGTTTAGGCATTTGAAAGTGACCAGTGACTGATTCTCCAGTGAAGTAGTATTCACTCTGGGAACAGGATTTACTACTGAAAGCAGCCATAAAGGCCCTTAAAATGAATCTCTGTTACCTGGAGGTAATTTATCACATTCTTCCACTTTTAAGCCTCATAACTATGGCTTTAGCTTTGCCTCTCAACAGTGTAGAATGCTCAAAAAATGTGAAACTCCATTTAAATGAGTCTTTGAAGTGCAATGAAAATTGGAAGAGTAATGTGAAAAGCTAAATATAAATAGTACATCATCATCGATTTCCCCTACACAGTGACCAAAAGTGGTGATTTATTGTGTTAAATCATACTACAATTAGCAATGTAAATGCTAAACATAAGTTATCCAAATAATTCAAAAGTTACCAATTTTAGTTTCCTTTTTTCATTTACCAAATTCCTACTTGGTAATAAGAACTAAAAATGGAATGATAAGCTCTTTCCTCCTCCTGAGGCTTATAAAGCTAACGGCAGATACACAAAGGTATACAGAAGATGTATGCCTGGGAAATTGCCAGTCTGTCTGAGGAAGCACCTGACTACAAACAGCCTAAGACTAAGATTTCAAGACTTTTCTTCTTTAGTATAAAAATACAAATATTATTGCTCTTACTACCATTGTTATTATCCTGGAGTAAAGCGAAACAGATTCTCAAGTTCGTGTGGAAAAGTTAATCAATAGGTCATGAAAAGCTTGACAAAAGAAATGCAGTGAAGGGCTGTCTGGCCCTAATTTTATTTACACAAACTATAAAGTGCCAACAGTTATGATACTATGATAGTGGTACGTAAGCAGACTGACAGACCAACAGAGTAGAAGAAAAGTAAAATAAAAAGCATATGAATTTGGTCTATAATAAAGGTGGCACCTCACATCAGTGGGGAAAAATATGGACTCTTCAGAAAATAGTAATGGGACAATGGGGGAAAAAATGGAAAAAAGTAAAGAGGAATTCACATCGGGATAAACTACACATGGATTTACAATATAAAAGTAATGAAACGATAGTAGTATAAAAAGAAAACAAAGGAACACATTCCTTTGCATGGGGAAGTCATTTTTCGCTATGACTTAGAATATAGAGCATTAAAAAAAAATTCAACTATATAAGAAGAAAAAAAGTACTTCTGTATGACAGCGCACACACACAGAAAAACTAAAAGACAAATGACAAACTAGGGAAAATGTTCAGAACTCATTATTACAGAGATTTTTACATAAAAATTACAAAGAACTCCTAGAATACAACAAGCCAACAGAAAAATGGACAAAGACTTCATAAAAGAAACACAAATTGTTCTTAAAATGCTCAATCTCTGCCCATCAATACATGAGTAGATTAATAAAATGTGGTATATGTATACCATGGAGTACTATTTGGCTTTAAGAAATGGTGATATAGCACCTCTCGTATTCTCCAGGAAAGAGCTGGAACACATTCTAAGTGAAGTATCCCAAGAATGGAAAAACAAGCACCACATGTACTCACCAGCAAATTGGTACTAACTGATCAACACCAAAGTGCACATATAAGAATAACATTTATTGGATCTCAGGCAGGGGGGAGGGGGGAGGATGGGATGGGTATACGCATACACGCAAGAGTGCGATGTGCACCATCCGAGGGATGGACACGCTTGAAGCTCGGACTTTGGTGGGGGGAGGCAAGGGCAACATATGTAATCTAAACATCTGTACCCCCATAATATGCTG